GCCACTGGTTTGCATAGTGACTCATCCTGTTTTGCTGGGTCGTGGTCCCCACGACAGCCAGTGGGGGTTACCCCAGAGCCAGCAGCATAGAAACCAGCCAGGTACCCCCACTACGTCACACCCCCGAGGCCCAAACGGGACATAGCTATTCAAGCCCTTTGCCAGATGGGGCAGCCCTAGGAGCTCAGAGGCCGACGGGCGATTCTCCGGTCGCACTCGCCTTCGGCTGGGCGAGCCCGTTGGGACCAGGGAATACTCCAAAGGCGTTTCCGTGGGGGGAATCGCACCGTGATGTACAGCCCCTCTGTGCTCAGCAAAGTGTCTCTACCTTTAGTCTCTGCTGGCTGCCCATTGGCCCGTCTCTTCACCACGTTTGCCTTTGGGGAGGAGATGATGCAGGGCCTGTTTGCTTCCTGCTGTCTGGTCCCGTGGGTCCTCATTCGCTCTCCCCGCCTGCCCCTCCTGCCTTTCGTACTCCCGACTCGCAGCTGAAGCCCAGGGTCACTGCTCCGGCATTAGTGCCGTGGGCTGAGGGGGAGTGGGCTGGCAATTCAGAATCCAGGGGTTCATTTGCTGACCCTTTCCCTGCATGGCGCACCTCAGAGTCTAGGGCTGTCCCTGTCTGGCCAGGGGCTTTGCAGGTTACACATGGGGTTTCACTCCCATGTCTCATGCTAGTGCTAGGGTCTGATGGCTGCCTTGTGCACACGGTTGGTTCCTGTTGCCGTTTCCACAGGGAGCTCAATTCTCCAATCCGGGCGCCCCCTCTGTATTACGTGGCCTGGGCAGATCTCAGACGCACACAGACTGACACCAGGCTGAGCCGAAAGCAAACGCTTTGCGTGAGTCCAGCCATCTAGACCGTTCAGTTCCGGACGGGCAAAGCCAAACAGAAATATTTTTGTTTCATTTTCCTGATGGAAAAACTATGAAATTTCAGCAACATCCGTTTTTCTCAGGGAAAGTTTCGGTTTTACAGAACCCTCGTTTCCGGTCAGCCCCACGCCAGGCCTGAAGGCTGGAGGAACCCGGGCAGTGCTAGGCCCTGTCTGTGGATGGAGGCCCGCTGGGAGGAGCTGGCAAAGGGAGAGAGCCGGCAGGCCGCTGACCAGCAGGCACACTCCCTGGTAGAGCAGGGAGCTGTGATGAAGGAGGAAGCCGCCCAGGGAAGGAGCGACCAGGGCTGGAACCTGGGTAGAGGATAGGCCCGGGTTCCCTTCTCGGCCACTGGCGGAGTGGCACAGACCAGACCACGCGCAGGCCGCCAGGGGCATTTTTCCTTAACCCCCGGAAGGGGGAGAACTTCAGTGTGACGTGGCCAGAGGGCCAAGCCCTGGCGAGGAAAGTGCCGCTGCTTCTGGTGCCGTGGCTGAGGGGAAAAGCAGCCGAGTAATCA